AAAACAGTAATGACACTACAAACTGTTTAATAAGGAAGTTATTTTTCTTTATTTTACATAAGAAAATTACTTAATATGCTGATATGATTTTTCCTTTAAATCAAGACATCATGGAAGCTTCAAATAAAATGGAAAAAGTTCCTGACTACTCTATGCCTCATATTGTTTATTTACATGACACTCTTCACTTCGCAAGGCTTTGGAAGCTTTCAATTGTACTTGTAAGATTCAGACAAACCATTTCTTTCTTTTACCTATTACATTGATTGTTTTTCCTGTGGAAAGTAAAAGTGCTTAAGATTTTGCATCTTGTTTCCACCGTAAGTGAGCTCCATGTTCACAAGTCCAAATCTTACACAACAGAATAGTTCCAATGGGCTCATGCATTTACCTGTCTTAGTGCTTGTAATGTAAGAAGTCAAGACCAACAGCCTTTTCTTTTATATTTTTGAGTCTGTAAGGGTACATCATAGTAGTACTGAATGATTTTGAAGATAGCCATCCCACCAAAGTTAATACTATATCATATGACATGGACATGGAAAATCTTACCATGTTATTTCAGCTACTTTCATATGCATTTCTAATTTTCCCCATATAGTGTGAGCTTGTAATTGGTGTACTGTAAGTAAGGCACAGATACATTATATGCATCTTTATATATGAATTTTATATCAAGAAACATAGGACAGTTCACAATTGATTAAAATATGAATTACTGATTCAAACATGAGTGAAATATATTGAGTATTGTATTCTGATTGACCAGCTGGAGTGTATCACTTTGTAGCAACCTAGAGACATTCAGAACGAAAAAATGTTTCAACAGATATCAAACTATTATGTTAAAGGTTTTGGAGAGGGTATAAAAGAGGCCTTTATAACCAAACCCTACTGTGCATGGGAAGGATAACTGCAGAGAAGTACTGCATCAATGTGAAGTCCAATGACTGTCACATTCAGATTGTGCATAGTAAAGTCTATAAATGTTTATAAACACAGCAAAGTTATAAATATCTATAATATCTTTGGAAAAAATTTAACAAGAAGTGAAAGAATTATAAATATTACTATTTAACCCTTCGACTGCAGTCTAAGATTCCATAGGCAAAATCATTTGTTGTGAGTACTTATATATCAGTCATAACATGTCATTGTCTGTATTCATCAGAAGTAAAACGATATAAGATACATGTTTTTATCTATTATCCAGAAACAGAATTTTTTTTCAAAGGCCTTCGACTACAGTTGGCTAATGTGTCATGAATGATAGTTTTAATTGTGACCATCATTGTCTAATGTGGTCAAAGGGCATGTACTAAGATATATTGATAATAAGGATTTACGATTATCATGTGTATTTGAAGTGTAATAGTAAACCATATGCAAAGAGAAGACGTACAAGTCTGACTCAACTTTCTCCACTCTTTCAGTGATGCCCTAGATGCTCTTGGCCTTAAGAGATATTGCTGCCGTAGGATGTTATTGGGACATGTGGACCTCATTGAGAAGCTGCTTAACTATGCTCCACTTGAGAAATAACCTTCATAACAGGTAATGCTTACTGAATCATTTACAAAGAATATTAAGTTTGTCATGCATGGTTAGTATTTAAGTTTCAATGGGGTTTTCCTTCCTTACCTCTCACCAGGTTGGCTGGCAACTAAAATCTAAAGTTACTTTGTAGGGATAGTGAAGTTAAACAATCACTGTAGAATCTTGGTTTATTTGACAAAATGACAACTTGTCTCACAAAAAAATACATTCCTTATCAAACTCCATAATCATATATACATTAATGAAATCTATAGTAACTAACTACTATATTCTACATACTAATATATATATATAGGAATTCCACGTTAGGTTCTCTGTAGTGTATGCTGCTAGCCATGTACAATAAGACACATTTAAAGAACAGATATTGTTTTATAGTAATTACTTCTCTTTGTTGATGATGATGATGATGATGATGTTATAGTATAAAGTGAGACTATTACGGAGATAACATTTTCATCTTCTCTTGAGGGTAATAATTAAGTTTAGGTTATGTTTGGTAAGGTAAGGTAGGGTTAGGATTAGGTTAGGAATTTAGGTTATGTTTGGTAAGGTAAGGTAGGGTTAGGATTAGGTTAGGAATTAATACGGCCTCTATATAATCCTTTATTAGGTCCCGAAGGACTTTTTTTTATCCAAAATGGATATAGGAGAGGACCAACAAACTTCGGTGCTGGTTGCCATGGTAACGCTGTGCACTGCAGATGTAATCAAATTTGGGTTTCTTGCATTTTAAAAATCGCTGAAGCGCTAGATTTAGTAGGAATACAAGCTGTTAGCACCTGGTGATCGCCAACCTTGGCGAACGTTGGGTTTTAAAGTAAGGCCTCCCTCACTCAGATGATCTGGCGTAGCTTTGCTAGGCTAATGCCAGCACTGGCGAAAGGTTTTAAAAGTACAGGCCTTAGTCACCATGAAGTCAGTTACTAAGCTTACCTGATATCATTTGTCATTTTTATGATTTTTGGTAAGATTGTTTATTACTGTTAGTACTGTCAATATTATTATAATAATCAAATAACTAATAATAATAATAATAATGGCTGATTTATAGTTTCATTCAGCCAACAGTTTTCTGATGTGCCTTATATTTTTTCGGTGATGCAAGTAGTGCTTTGATTGATCTTGCACCTTTTTCCCTTCATAGGTGTCTAGTTTATGAATTATGCTTCTTTTCAAGCTATGTCCACCTGCTCATCCCCAGTCATCTTGAAGTACCTGTGGGAAATTATTATTATTATTTTTTTTTTAGGGGGGGGGGGATGAAATTGAGTCATAAGCATTTCAAATGAGATCAAAATCAACACAAACACATCAGAAAGTCCATAAAAAGGCACATAGTACACCTTTGGTGTGTGAAGCAGTGGCCTTGGGGAGATTAGCACTGTTGCCAATGACCCATTCTATTTCTGGCTATATCTGCTACATTTAAGCTGACCAGACCTAACCTAGCCTTACCTTTATGAAATAAAGGAATATTTCAGTTATTAAGTCCACTATTTTAGCTAAATGTTGTGGATCATTGGCAGGGCCATTGCAAAGGGGGGGGGGGACAACCCCCTGAAAAAAGGTTCTGTTGGCAAATAAAGCTAAAGCCTGTTTTTGTTAGCAGATTCCTACAAATTTTAATAATCTCCAATTAGCCATATATCTTTTGTAGATTGATGCATAAAGGAAGCAAGCAGATCATGGGGCACTACATTAAGTAACACAGCTAATAAATAACCACAATATATGACTTATTTTTATTGACCACACCCAATATTTGTATTTACATACAAATATACTTTTGCATATACATAAACATGTGCATATGAAGAGAGGTGGATAAATAGATAGAAAGATATCCATTCCAAATCATCCACTCAACCAGCTTCTTCATTGACTGTTTATATTGGGGTGCCCTGCCCTGTCCGACTTTATCAACCCCTTCCCAGTCAATGTCAGAAGTGTTGGCATTTTGGCCACCCTGCTAATCACGTTAGCTCCACAGCCCACTGCACGCTGTTTGCCCAGTCACGTCACGATCATTCAAATTGCAATGCACAATCATATACAGGTGCCATTTGTGGTGGTTCCAACAATGTATCTTATAGGAGCTACTCTGCCTACAAGCTTGAGTATGAGATAGCAGTTCTCAGCTTCAAACTAGGCCTCACTCTACACAAGGTCAAACAGGAAGCAAGCTGAATATGGTTAATGGTTCGAAGGGAATACTTAATATTTCTGCCTGGGTGTGTCAACCAGGAAGCTGAAGAGGTTTCTTTTTTCGCTACCTCCCTTCTTTCACAATAGCATCTTCTGAACCCTCTTCCTCCTGACTTTCTTCCTGATACTTCAGTCTCGGTCCATGGATTCATCTACCCTACTTTTACACCAATTTCTAACCTTATTACCCAATAATAGCTTCATAATGGCTCTGTTGCATTGTTCCTCATACAATCTTTCTCTTCGTCAGAAACATGGATACTATTTATTTTATCTAATCACCCTTCTGCCTTAACTCCTACCTTCCTTTCATAATCCCACCTTACTCCATTTGCTCCCCAACTTTATCCTTTTCACTACCATACTATCCTATAGTATTGTACAACATTTAACATATAACACATTTTGTTCTATCATTAAATCATTTTACCCTTTTCACCACAAACCTTTACCATAATGCTTTATGACCTTTTGATAACTAGTACATTTATTTGTTTTAACATTGCCAGGAAAATGTGTTCACTGTAGTGTTGTTATGTGAAATGTCTCTGCACATAGATGGCTCTGCAAATGCTTAGCCACAACAGAGTCAGTTAGTAGACTCAATGACTACAAATGGTTTCACCTTTCCTTGCGTTTGCAGGAAAACTTTTTCCCCTAATGCTATCAATAAAGAAGCCGTTATTATTATTATTATTATTATGGACATAATAATTATAATCATGACATTACTAGCAGCACTATAAGATACCAGAAAATATTCCAAAAATCATTGGAAAGGGTAAAAAGGTGAGATAGGTAGTTAACATAATTGACAACTTACTACTTGTGGAGCCATCTATGTGTAAAAGGAAACTAAATTCACAGTGGGCATGGAATGTAAGTGCATGCCACCCGTGGTGTTGTTTGGTTAACCATTAACCATCAGCATATATCTTATAAATTAAATGTTGTTTGTAGTTTTTGTTTTATTCTTTGTGCAATTTTTAATGTTCTAGAAAGCAAATTTCTGCCTGGACGATGCCAGGCACTTTCAGCTAGTTTATAATGATATTACTATTAAGTCATCAAAAGATTGATATCTACACCATTATTTTTTTCAGATTAAATGACTTCAGTTTGATTTAAGAAGAAGTGAAAAGGAGATTGATTTGGGTGGCCTGAAATCAAGATGTTCCAGTGAAAGCAGCGAACAAGCAAGGATGAAGATTTTGTAATAAAATTGAAAAGTGATATTATTTCTCATTCTTTTCCATTACAAAAGAAAGAAAGAAGCTCATAACTTGAGAATGAAGAAGACGCGAAGAATTACAGAAACTGAAATAAATGTTGTAGCTGCAACAACATCATCTGAATTTCATAAAACACTGAGGTTCCAGTTGCTCAAGGAACCATAAAAGTTGAGATCTATTTTGAAGCAAATTTCATTAAAAAATTAGATTTTAATGTCAACAAATAGTTAAAGTTACATAAAGAACTTAAACCAATAACCATAGCAAGGAAAGTAATGAATATTGAAAATATTTACCATAGAAAAAATCAACACACATGTCAGCAAAAACAAAAAGCATTACAAAAATAGGAATAACAATAACAAACAGTAGCAAACTGGGAGTGACTAAAGGGGAACAAAATACAGCTAAATGAGTTTGTAGAAATGGGAATCAAGAGATACTTATTAAAGCAGAGCTCCCTACAATTGAGGACATGATCACAAAAAAATATCAGAGATTAAGGCCCTATAGCCTAATTGTCTCCACTTCCCCCTCTCCATGCCACTCCCCAAAAGTAAACAACTTGCATTAACGGCAGAAATGTTCCTTCACCTGATAAGTACAATCACTAGTGTAATTTCGTTTTAAATATACTCTGCATTGCTGTTTTATATCTTAAAATCGTGTTATACATTTTTTTTAGTACATTCAGTGTGTTTAATATGTTGGCTCAACCGAATTCACATACACCGAAATAATTTACTGCAACAATGAGTAGTCCCAAGTACATATATACAAATATTGATGCAAAGGATTGCCAAAACTACCCTAGCAAAATGATTTAGTCTGCTTTATCAATAGAGCCACAGAAAAAAACAGGATTATTTTTTTTCAAAACTTAATGACGATCTCTGCTGAGACCAATCAAACGAAATATTAATGAAATTCCATTTTCTGTAAAAGCAGATAGCATTTTCTCTGATATGAAGCCCAATAAAAAAACTTTACGCATAGATCCGTTGAACCTTCGTGGGAAAACGTTTTTCCCCCTTTGGCATCGACAACAGCAAATACAGCGACTACGATACCACTACGATCAAATAAGTAGTGGATAATAAATGAGCTCAGTTCAGTTCAATTAGATTTGCGAAGTCATGCTTCACCCGGGCCTTTTCTCTGGAGTAGCCCGGCAAATTAATGAGCTCTAATGCGGCTCCATATAAACTTTGTTTCCCGCGATAGGTTTCCATATTCCTAAATCTTAAAATGCTAGAGCGATCATCACATCTGGTTAAAATGGATAAATAGTGAATGACCTTTCCACTATGTTTACTTGTAAGCTATATTTTTCTCTTGAATATGATTATGATGGATTTACATGGAACAGATAAGAAATATGATGCTGCATACGTGACAACAGCGGCAGAGGTACGTGACGGCGAGCCCACGGAGAAACATTGCACCGTGATGCACAAGACATTGGCCAAACATCTGTATATCATTGCATGGAAAATAATTGATGAGTTTTGCATCTATGACATGTACGTGTTAACAAAATCAGACAGCATCTTAGAGCATAAGCATAAGATGTTTGCTTGACCATGCACAGGCGCATGGTCAAGCAAACATCCAATTTTGCAACATCATGCAGTCCACTAATTTCAGCCACATCAAACTTGGCTACTGATAGAAAGATAATAATAAATATCAGTGTATTATTCTTTCACCCTTTCTATGGACATTTTAGATACATGGTTGCATGCAAATTTACAACTGAAAAACGTATATCCAAATGCATGATTTATGCATTTAGAATTCATAAAAAATAAACGGTTCCTATCAACTAAGTACTTGAAGTACACTGAAATGATAACAATGCAATAAGAACAATCGAAAAACACCAACAAAATATCAACATAAAAAAAATATATATATATATTACTAATGAATGGTTTTGATGATGAGGGGAAGGAAAAATGTGGTGGTGGTGATTGAGATGGTGATGGTGGGGATGGTGATAGTGATGATGATGTGGTGGTGAATGATATGGTACAAATAAATAACAGACCGCCAAGAAAGGTCAGAGTTCAACAGGTTATGGCTTGGTTCGCACAAATGGGGGGAGCAACTTCCCCTCGTCTGTATCCCAACGGGTTGCCAATCCGCTTTCAGCCCCGCCCCCCTTGAAGGCGCCCAAGCGGGACTGTCAAGGATGAGGCAGTCAGGAACAAGGCCTGAGAATTACCGATCCTCCCGAAAGGCGAAGATGAAATGAGGGTTGCAGGGGTTCGCTTGATGACACATGTTTCCAGGGGCATTGCGCAAGGTGAGGGGGGGAGGGAGCGGAAAGCAAGAATGGAGGCGGGGAGAGGATGCGTTTTGACTCATATTTGAAATATTTCGATCCCTCCATTCTAGCGGTAACTCCAGGCACCGCATTTGAAGACTTCAATGCTTTTCAGACAGAACATGTCAAGTCCCATATTTGAATAGTTAGACTGTAGTCTCCTTCTCGTGGACACATGGCCTACGACTGCATGAGCCACGGGCAACAAATTGTCTGCGGCTGTCTTATGAGAGAAGGAGGTACAGTACCTTCCGTCTGCAGCAAGGAAAAGTGCCAAAGGGGCAGAGGTTGTTTTGCCGTAGGGTCGGCTTGAGCCCAAACTTTAATCTATACTTTATATGTGTATATATTTCTTTGTTTGCACTTAAAAAAAAACTCTCTGCACCTTCAATCCCCCCCCCCCCCCNTCTCTCTCTTTCCTCTCCCCTCCTCTCCTTATCTCATCTCTTCTCTTCTCTTTTCTCTTTTCTCTTTTCTCTTTTCTCTCTTCTCTCCTCTCCTCTCCTCTCCTCTTCTCTTCCCTTCTCTTCTCTTTTCTCCTCTCCCCACTATTTTTATTTTTCTATTTTCAATTTTTAAATTTGCTTCTCATTAATCATATCTTATTCCATTGTCTTGTCCTTACTTTCTTTCCTTTCCTCTTTTCTCTGCGATTATCTCATCGGTTTACTTCTTTTTATTTATCTTCCTTGTCCTCTCTATTTACTTTATTATATTTCATGAATTGATACAATCTAAATAAAATACACAGAAAACGAAATAGTTAATTAAACAAAAGAGCATCGCATAGTAACAAGAAGCGCATAAATACGCTTCAAGCCCGGTATTCCACATAAATAGACAATGTCAACCCTACTCTTTAGTATCATTACAACGTCTATACTCGTTTACTACAAGAAACTAAACAAGTAGAGAGAATGGCAGTGTATACTATCTATTTATCCCAGTAGAGTGCTATTGAAACACGACGTGCCATGGAGAGGAAGGGGTCGCGAGGAGCGAAGCCGAAGATCGTTCCTCTGCCGGGGAATCTGTTCACTCTCGGGACCAAATCGGGAAGAGCGGATGCACAGATTGACAAGTCCTCATCCCACGGGTCGTCTTTCGCCCAGAGTAAATCGTCAAGTAAGTTGAAATATGGATAATTGATTGGTATGCATTGTCTTAGAAATTCGGGTTCAAGTGATAGAGAGTTGAAAATATTTTTTTCTCTTGGTTATAGTCTCAACAAGAGCAGAATTCGGCAGGGTATGGTTACTTGACCAGCCGGTATAAATGTTATTGAGAATTGTTCATTGCTGATCCGAGTAAAAATCTTCTAGGTCACTTTTATTTCTTCTGTGTCAGGGCTTACCTTGTATTGCATGAATTTTATAGTTATGTATTTAAAAATCCTAGCTGTCAGTGATTCTGAAAGACCGATTCAGTAACGCTGAGCAACTACCCCTAACAACGAGAACTTGGTGAAAACAAACCCTTGTTCGTTTGAAAACTCACTGTGCTTCGCTTACAGAGTCATTTAATTTTTCCGAGAATTTAGTTTCTTTGCGTGAAAATGCTGAGGAGCTGTGTTGCCGTAGGTTGTTCGAACCACAACATGATGGGAATAAAAGGTTTAACCTTTCATATATTCCAAGATCACGAAAAGAAACCTGAAAATGGAAGCAATGTGTACAGGCCCATTGCTCTATTGCTTGGGTGCCAGTTGGAAACTGTTTACATCTGCTCAGAACATTTTAATACTTATTGATATTTTACACCTTCTCAAATTCTAGAGACAGATAATCACTTTCAAACTATCTGTGTATACTATCTACCAAGGCCAAACAAGGTCAACATTGCCTACATTAGGTTTTGGAAGCAGTTATACACTCCAAAAAGCACAACAGCAATTTTATATTTGTATGTAATGAATTAATTTATCATAATTTTAATTTACAGGCAAACCTTCCTGTAAATTACTCACCCAGGCTTTATCCTAAGCACTGTCCTTTAGATGAAAACAAAGCAGTCATACTGTTAAAAAGATTTGAAAAAAGGGAGAAAAGAAGCCTAGCTAGAGAGATACCAAGCATTCAGAAGAAATCAAAGTTTCCTATTACTTGTCTGAAATGTCATATAGCACAGCAGATGAAACAACTGAAGAGGGCCTAATTCTAGATATTGAGGAAAGAGTAAATTGCATTGTGCGCTTGTAGGCCCTTGTGACTTCATTGTCTCCTTTGTATAAACACCTAGTAAATATGAAAAAAGTGATGTTAGGAAATGGCACTGATTTCACAGAAAAATAACCTATAAATTACTGTAGCAAATTATGTTATCATAAAATCATTTTCATTTCATGGTGTCTTGATCAAATAGTCTTAGATGTCGGAATATTTATTATTTCGAAGGATCATCGATCCCAATTTCGGCAGGCAGACGGTATGGGTACTTATTTAGCTGCACAGCTTTTAGTTTTGATTCATATCGCTTTTTCACTCCGGTTTTTAAAGAACCAATGCATCCATATGCCCTTTTCCCTTTTTGCTTACTGATAACAAGGCAAACAACAGTTTTGTTTTCACCTAGTGGAATGGAGACTCTGACTCGTAACATCACACAGAATCGGTCCATAGGTAAATGTTTAGGGCACAGTGTTGCTTTCAAAACAAAACCAGTCTCCTGTAATATT